GTGCTGCGTCCTGCGTGCTGCTGCTCCCGACTCGGGACCGACTGGACCGCCCTCGGCTGCGCTGGACTGCCCTGAGCCAACTGGGCCACTGAGTCGCGAGGATGCCTGCGACCCCAGAGTCGCATCACTCCGGCGATGGCAGCTCGACCTACAACCAGTCCACCACCCCGATCGGCGCCTCGGTGGCCAATACCCCTCCAGATCCCGACGCCTCCATCGTTAAGGTCACCCGCGGCCACAGCTGCGTCCTCTGCCAGCAGCGCAAGGTGCGCTGTGACAAGAAGAAGCCATGCTCCAACTGCGTCAAGGCCGGCGTCGACTGCCGCGTCGTGCCACCCCAGCCGCCGAGGCGAAGGAAGAAGCGCATTCCCGAGCGTGATCTTGTTGACCGTCTGAGGCGTTATGAGGTCTTATTGTCTCAAAATGGCATCGAGTTCGAGTCCCTGGGCCCGGACATTAAGATCACCGATCCTGGCTCTGTCGAAGAGGGCGACGAGCTCGACCCCGACTTTACCAGGCAGCGATCCAGAGCCTCGCCCGCTGGTGCCGATTCCGACGTCATTACTTCAGCCGGCGAAAGCCTCCACAGACCGCGGTAAGTAGCAGCTCGGAGTGCCCCAGGCCCCGTGTTTCATCTGTTGCTCGTGCTAAATGAAACACGTCGACAGCACGTTTAGATGGTTCCCCTTTCAAAAAGAGGTACGCCGCCGACCCCTCTGCCCCCGCCCCGATTCTATCCTAACCGCCGAGTCTGTCTATCTAGTTTCGAGCGCATACAGATGTAGCCCCAGATTCCGAGGAAGAGGAGGACGTCGGATCGACCATAAACCACGCATATGACCAGATGTTCAGCACCACAGATGGCTTCCCCTTTTCCGTCGGGGGCCAGTTCCAGAGTGTCACCGACCTTCACCCGTCTGGCGTCCAGATCTTCCAGTTATGGCAGATATACCTAGACAACGTGAATCCCCTCCTCAAACTGACTCACACGCCCACCCTACAAGTCCAGATCATCGAGGCCTCGACAAATCTCACGAAGGTATCGAAAAGTCTCGAGGTCCTCATGTTTGCCATCTACCTCATGGCAATCACGAGCCTTACCGACGACGAGGTGCAGCAGACATTCAACGACACAAAGCCCAACTTGTTGATAAAGTACCAACATGCCACACAACAAGCCCTGTTCAATGTAGGGTTCATGCGCATGCCCGATCTCACAGTTCTGCAAGCCTACCTATTGTATTGTGTAAGCGTCCTCCCCCAGTGTTTGGTCTTCTTTCTAATCTCATCAGTTTCAGATTGGCGTTAGGCAGGAGACAGACCCCCGATCCCTGTTCTGTTTAACCGGTATGGGTGTCCGTCTAGGTCAACGCCTCGGTATACAGCGGGATGGTGCCGAATTCGGGTTTTCCCCGTTCGAAGTAGAAGAAAGGCGGAGACTTTGGTGGAACCTGGCTGGCTTCGACAGACGTATAGGTGAAATGTGCGGATCGACCATCACAGCCATCTCGACCGGCGGCAATTGCAGGTTACCCCTCAATATCAACGATGCAGACCTCAACACGCACGCCAAAGATCCACCACCGCCTCATACCGGTGCTACCGAAATGATATTTGCCCTGACACGGCTCGAATTCGCTAAGGCACCAGGAAACGACAAGATGAAGGCTCAACTTTCTGCCGCCAACCCACAAGCGGTCACAAATCTGGCCGACCACCGCCTTTCGGGCTACTTTGACCAATTTGCACACTACATGGAGGAAACCTACTTGAAGTTCTGCGACCCCAAAATACCTATCCATTATATGACCCTCCTCATGACACGAGCCAACATTTGTAAGATGAAGGTTCACTCCGGTTTCTTCCGAGTCGCAATAGTGGCTCCTTCCTCCCTACCAGCGGCTGAGAGCGAGGCTCTCTTCATCGAAGCCATAAGGATGATCGAATATGACAGTATGATACAGGCTCATGAGAAGCTGAAGGGTTTCCTCTGGTACACCAAGATGTACTTTCCCTTCCCCGCCTACGTATGTCTTTTGACCGATCTCCGCCGCCGGACGACAGGCGATTTATGCGAACGCGCTTGGGAAACCATCTTTGAGCACGCAGACAGGAGGAAGATGACTATCATGACACGTACTCCCCTTCATCTTGCTTTCAGTGGACTCTTCGTAAAGGCCTGGGACGCCAGAGAGGCTGCCGAGGCCGCAAACGGCCGCACTCTCGCCCCGCCAAGGCTCATTACTCTCATGAGACAAATCGACGCTCAAAAGCCCAGGAGGGCCAAGGAGGCAACACCGATGCCGACGCCATCACCGAAGATACCGGTTGTCAGTGCTGGGTTTGCCTCGGCGTCAGCATCAAACATGGTGCCCAATACAGCAATGTACCAACCCGCCGACATGTATAGCAACATGCAGCCCGCGGATATGAACAGGCAGTTCTCTATGGTGTTCCCCGACGTCAATTTTGGCGGCGAGATGGACTGGAACTACCTCATCCAAGAGTACGGTGGATATATGCCCCACCAAGGTGTGCATAGCTTTGGCATGCCGCAACAAGTCGTACAAGACCCTACACAGGCTGGGTCATGGCAATAATGGAATAAGTATATACCCCTATATAATGTAAATCTGGCCCACCACAAGTGTATAATGATGGGATGACGAGAATACCACCTGAGCTGGCTCGAGGGAATATATAATCCAAAGTCTCTTCTTTTAGGGGGTACATATACGGACGACTGCAGCGTCTGCAGCGGATTGGCATCTGGGGCGAGATTTCTATATCATACTTATGTATCTTCACTTATATAATGAAGAGATGATTGTATTTATAACGAAGAATACTATGACGTACCTGCGTATTTAGATCAGATCCATTGATATATATGTTGATCAGACCGTAGACGGAAGCAATTAAGACATGATCACTGAGTCTCCGTACTTTAAAACATGAGCTGAATCTGTATGTGCTTGATTTATTTTTATTGTCTGTTCGCATTCCTTAGTCATATATAGTTTCTTTTCTCTCTCTCTCTTTTACTTATTGCTTTTACAGCTATATTGGCGCGAGAGCAGGGTGGTTCACTCTCCACGTGGCTGCTTTAATTATGTGTCTCTTGGTCATAGGAAGCCCCGCTCTCGCGATATAATATATGTTGGGCGGACTCTCACCATCTTCTGGTTTCGTGGTGTAGTTGGTTATCACGTCAGTCTAACACACTGAAGGTCTCCGGTTCAAGTCCGGGCGAAATCAATTATTCTTTTGCCAGAATAGGATCGAATCAGAAATTCATTTTTTTTCCAATCCTGGCGTACTTTTCCCTTTTCCTTCTTTCCCCAAATAAACCCCAAAAGATATCCTGCCTCATGTGCTACAAGTGCTCACGGGATAGAGGTTTCGGACTGATATGTTAAGTTTCTCTACAAACAATCGATGAATTACCGGGAAGGACGAGGAATTGACTTGCCTGAGTTGACTCGCACTACCAGCCAGTCCCTATCTTTACGTAGATAGTCAAGTCTCGAAGAGTTGTCGTACATAGGAGAGCCGCTGCTAATGCAATCAGTAATCCCATCTATCTAGGATATCACAAAAGAAAGACGATAGTAATGGCTTCTACCAGCGTTGCTGAGACGCAAATCAATGGGAGTATTAACCCCACAAGCCAGCTATGGTTCGCCTCTGGCAATGGACCTGTCTCCCGGACCGTACTGAAGACGCCCCTACGTGACGCGCTCCCATCGGAGATTCCGATCATCGACGTCTCCGGGATTTTCAGCGCCTCCAGAGACGCCCGCGAAAGCGTGGCGCGGCAGGTCCGAGACGCCGCCACCAACAACGGGTTCTTCTACATCGAGAACCACGGCATCCCACCCGAGATACCGGAGGCCGCGCGCGAGCGGCTGCTCGAGTTCTTCCGGCAGCCGCGGGCGGTCAAAGAGCGCGCGAGCATCAGCCGGTCGCGGTACTTCAACGGCTACAAGCCGCCGGCGTCGCAGCGGATCAACCCGTTCGAGTCGGTCGACGCGCGCGAGACCTTCTCCTGGACGTACGACCCGCGGTACGACCCTTCGGTCCCCGGCGGCCCGGCGGCCGTCGTCCCGCCCCGCGTCGCCCGGTACCTGCGGTGCGAGGACTTCCACTGGGAGGCGACGGCCAACCTGCCCCGCTTCAAGGAGGACATCGTGCGCTACTGGCGCGCGTGTCTCGCGCTGGCGCGGGCCCTCGTGCGCACTTTCGCGCTGTCGCTCGGCCTGCCGGAGGACTTCTTCGCGGACAAGTTCACGCACCCGGACGCCGCGCTCGCGCTCAACTACTACCCGCCGCTGCCGCAGACACCGGAAGCCGAGGAGGAGGAGGAGGAGGTCGTTTCCATCGGCTCGCACACCGACTTTCAGCTCTTCACGATCCTGTGGCAGGACGACGTCGGCGGCCTGCAGGTGCTGAGCCGCGGGGGCCAGTGGCTCAACGCGCGGCCGGTGCCGGGGACGTTCGTGGTCAACATCGCCGACTACATGCAGCGCATCACCAACGACCGCTACGTGAGCACCGTGCACCGCGCCCAGAACCGCAGCGGCAGGGAGAGGATCAGCATGCCCTTCTTCTTCGGGTTCAACCTCGACGAGAGCTGCGGCGTGCTCGACTGCTGCGTCGCCGAGGGCGAGGAGAAGAGGTACGGCGAGATCAGCTGCGAGGAGTGGGTTCAGAGGCGCGCGAGGGCAATGCATAGGGAGGGTGAGACGTGAAGTGAATAAGACGTGCTGTTGCTTGGCTGTGCTTGTTAAAGCATCGGAATAGTCTGCTAAGAGTTTTTAAAATATATTACTAAATAAGTGTTAAAAGAAACTCAAGTTAAAATAAAATAATAGAATTTTTTAAACTATAATTACTTCTGAGAATAAAACAAGAATTTCTTTATCAAGCAATAAGAAAAAACAAATTTCGGGGAGCAATAAAATAAATGAGTTAAATAAACCCCGATAAAAAAAACATGACGACCAGGGCCTGATTCGAACAGACGCTCCCGAAGGAAGTAGATAGCGATTTAATTCGAGTCTACCGCGTTAACCACTCCGCCACCTGGCCACGATTGTACCGGATAATCGTATCTGCGTCTATTCCCACCTAAGTTTCTTGCAGATGCAGCACAGGAGATATCGCTTAAACGGTGCGAAGTTCAGGTCGCACATAAAACGGTATCCTCATGCGATTGACGTTCTCACCGTCCACGCCGTTTGAGATCTCTCTAACCACCCCGTACCACATCGAATCCCGGCGTTAATCAGCATATCACTGTAGAAGACTACAGGTAAGTATTGCGTTATATGGATAAAAACGCGAGCGCCGACGACTACATGTATATGAATCAGCGGAACAGAACAGCACCATCAAACAACGAACCACGTAAGACGGTGATCTCGGTGATCATATTCATTTCGCATAACGAAGAGCCCACGACGGGCTAGATTTAGGTCGCTGTATTTCAATGATGTAAGTGAAGACGCTAATTACAACAACAAAGTGGCAAATCTCTCTCAGCCTATGGGCCTGTGACGAAGTCCCAATGCCAGTGACAACTTCGCCCTTCCGGATCCGCGCCATAGTGGCGCCTGGAGACACAGGCAATTTACGTGATCCGAGCCAAGCGTTGCGAAGAGATCTCACGATCAGTCGATTACTCCATCCGTCAATCGACCAATCAAACAAGCAGGTCCTGCAAGTCGTAGTCCGCAAAGACGGGGTGTTCGGGCTGCTCAGGGTTCCAGAGGTTCTCAACATCAAGCAGGTCGGGCGCGAGGCCGCGCACAAGCTGAGGAGTCTGCGGCGGCAGGCGCGGGTTCCCCTCGTGGTCATGATCATGATCGCGACCCCCAGCGATTCGTATCAGAGAGATCCGGGGGACGCGAGGGGGGTTCATCTGGACGGGGAGGATCTGCTCGAGGGCATACCGGCGGTTGCACTTCCGCCAGAAAGCCTGGCTCCGGAGCGTCTGCTGGATCTCTCGGCCGACGGCGCACCAGTTGACCGGTCCCGTACCGTACTCGAGGACGGTGTCGTGGGACATGGCGTATGCGCCGAGCGGCGACGTCGACGCGGGAGAGAAGTCTTCGTGGTCGACGGCTATCGCGATTCTCTCGATGTTGCGGAGGCGGCTGTAGACGATTATGAGACTCTCTTCTAGCTTCTCGCGGGTGCGGAGGGACATCCAGTTGACAGCGACGGTTTTCGTATCCGCGACTCGCTGGAGCGGTTTCGTCTGGTACAACTCAAGCTTCTCCGTGGTATCATGGTCAAAGTAGACCATGTGGTCCGGGCCGGTGATGATTTCTCGACCGGCGGGATCCTGGCTTGGAGAATCGGCTCTGTTATAAGGCCTAGTTTCGTCGGCATTGTCGAGAGCGGTAGGAATGAGCCTCCGCTTGTGGAGCTGTAACTCGCTGTGGCCACATGCGTCTTCGGCTGCCAAGCTGAGACAGATGATTGTATTCTCATTAATATAATACTTTTGCGCCTCTCAGTTAGCACAGTCTTTTAGTAGGTAGGTAATTCGCAACGCGAGTCCTAGGGCGAACACATCTTACGCTAGTAGTAGAAGACATGATGTTGATCTAGGACATTTTCAAATACCTAAGCAGAACCTAAGGAAACGAATGGACCAACGAGGCGCGATGCGCTGGGCTATGCTCTCGATCGCGCTACGGAGGAGCTACCGGACTGCTGAATACGAGAGAGAGGGAGTACTATTTCTGTAAATATGATTTTGCGGGGTGTGAGACTTGTCTGTCTACCTGAAATGCCAACCCTTAGGAAAAAACTATATGATGAGAAAAAATGACCGACCAAAAAAGAAAAATCCCAAGGGATACATACATACCCTCACAGCTGACAGGTTGTTTCGCAGCTTCCTAGAGGAGGCTGCAGGCCCTCATCTATCTATCTATTACGAGCCAGGGGGGGTCTCTCTCTCCAACGGTCATGGAACAAGGCGGGGACGGATGATCAGCGCTTGCCGGAAACTAAGTATGAATCTTAGATCCGAGTGAGCGCCGTAGATATTCTACCAGAACGCCTCCTGCCTGGGCGTGTAGATTTCGATCAATTGCGCCTCCCCTCTCGTTACGTTATCTCGCAACTTCTTACATGGCATCATGCAAGGGACTGGCTGCTTTCGCGATAGGTGACACTTAAAATTTTGCGTACTTTTAAGGAATATCTATCCATCAAGAGGGTTAATTTGTGTATAATTACGAGGGAAGTGAGTGAGTAGCTGCATGGAAAGGACTCTCATCAGGCCTGGCGAATCTCCATGGCACGGCTCAGACGTAGATAGCTCGCGGTTACATTTCTCCGCGTGTTCGCGCCCGCTGTTTTCATGCTATCGCTATTGCCTATGTAGTTCACCATTCACGCGCAAGACGCTTCCTGTGAACTACCTAGAAACACCACAAGTAGTACCGGTAGTTCCAACCAGGGGTATTGAGTTAGTCAAGTCTACAACATGAGTGGAGTGGCACCCTGATTTATTATTACATGTATTGGCTATATATCTATCTACCTATCTATCTACTGTCCGTGGTGATTCTCGCGGCCGTATCCCGTGTATATCCAAGTCAGCGTCGCCGTCTCTAACTTCGGGGGCTCGCAGAGGCCGCCCACGGCCGCCATCCGCAATGCCTTCTCGAATGTACGCTTCAGGTCTCGGACATGATGTCCCTGCGGCTGGGGGTTGCTATGACCCGACTTCGACGACGCCCGCGTGGCGGCGGTGGCGGCGGCGGCGCTGGATGGTTTCTCGGTCTTCTGAGCTTCGGGGTCGAATTGTACGAGCTTGGCCTGCTGGGGCCTGCTCTGCCAGTAGTTGTCCATGTTGAAGTTGGCGTCCAATGCGTAATGGTACACCTCGTGCAGGTCGTGGTGGTCCCAGGGGATCATCACTGGGTCCGACTCGCCGACGATCAGGTTGAATGCGGAGCGCTGGAACACGACCAGTATTAGTGCGTCGAGGTTGGTGAACTTGGACAGGAACACGAGGAGCCGCTTCATGTTCTGCTGTGTTTGTGCCGGCTTCTGGAAGATACGAAGGTATAGACCCGTGTGTAGACCCCACTGCAACACTTGGAGTTAGTAATCGCCATTTAAATGCTCTCCATTTAGTTCTCTAGAAATGAAGAAGACTTTTTTTCAAGATACAATTTTTGGGGGGTCTCGAAGGGGCGTTATTGTACATCTGAAGCAGATGTGTATATATATATCACAGCTTTGACAATTACTTACCGAAGTTCCCAGTGCTATCCTCGACACGAGTCGTCTAACAGACTCGATCTGACTCAACAGGCGAACAACCTTGAGAAGCCGTCTGACCTGCAGGTACGAGTCGAGGAGAAGAATGTCACGACGAAGATTGATATGCTTGACGACGCCAGAGAACGCCAGGGGCTTATAGTGTCGCAGCACCGCCTGGCGGGAATCTCGACATACCCGGGCTAGCACGGGAGGAGGCTCGTTCCGGACATCAGCGAACATCAGCTTGGCACTCGGTCCTGCCTGTGATGGAGTAGAAGACGGCGAGTCGAGGACTTCGTAAATCCGGGCTTCTGGGAAAGCATATCCCCACTGTGACGAATACGAGTTAGAGTTATATCATTAGCGGCCTTGTCTTGTGACAAGTAACGAGCGAGTAAATAGAAAGGGCGCGAGAACAAGGAGGCAGAAAATAGATCGAAAAGTGAGACTAAAATGACTTACAATTTGATCCCGCAGTTCGGGTGGTAGCTTGGAGAAATAGGGGAAACTGACCATACCACTCGCCATTATAGGTAATTCGCCGATAGAGTAGTTGTTGGTCAAGTAGCCAACCCGAAATCAGCTCAGCTTAACGAAACTTGACGGCAACCTAGTTCAATTTTTAGCAGACTTCATCAACACTTGCTAAGGCCACGGTTCCCACAGAAGGTCAATAAAGCACATACCTACGTCTCTGGCCGTTTCCTCCCAGAACCGGCGAGCCTCTCTCTCGTATATTCCGAGTCCAATTTGCTTCTTGTCGAACGGGTATCAGCTGATACTCTCACCACACGCATAAGACTTGTGGAATCTAAACACAGAGTGTCTCAGACGGTTAGCTACAGAAGGCTCGCAAACAGGAATCACAGCAACAGTTGGGGGGCGATGGCAGTGTCGCAAACAAACCCGCATCGGGCTCTTCTCGGCCCTGACTGACTGCGCTGGATAAGAGGTACTAACGAAAAGGTCTTCGGGTTCCAAAAGGGGGTACTAGAATACACACATGGATGGGCGAGGCTGCGAGGCCAAGTGCGACGGGAACGGTCTGATATGCCGGAGGCGAGTAACGAGATCTGGAAGCAGGCTACCAGTTTAGAGGTAGTAATAGTAGTGCCTCGACGGAAGAGAGAGGCTCTTAATATATATCACCTGGGCCTTCCTACCACTGAGGATGGACAAGAATACGTCTCCACGAAATTAAGGGGAAAAAAATTCATATGCAGTCCGCACCTATGAGACGCTGAAGCATGGCTAGGGATGGATACTGGATTATACGTAGTCTAATGTTCTAAGCCAGTCTCTCTTCTTCCTTTAGTTTCAGAGCAGGGGAAACAAGCATCCCTTCCTAATCGTGGCTAATGGGGTGTGAAGACAGTGATTAGTCACGGAGGACGAGTGAAGGTAATCTTCTAAGCCGTTCGCACTGGTTTGGGAAATACGAAGGGAAGGCTTTATTGGAAACCTCAAAAGATGGGAGAAGAGGGAAACGGGGCATAAAGTGAGCGGTTGAACTGCAGGTTACATAAGATGTGACCACGATGGCAGGCCTGTGATATAGTAGGAATCGAGATTAAGGAGTGTTCGGGTATGCCATCTCGAGGAAGCAGGGAGACGGGGATGCCATGATTCGCCCAAGAGAGCCCTAAGACAGCTAAGACAGAGCACACTAGATATCTAACGGGCCGTCTCCGAGAGAAGGGATGTGGCTTGGACGCTTGTCCACCGTTTGCAGCGAGATGACAGTTGAGAGATGGATGGGGATACACTATGCAATGCAGGGTATTTGTCAAGAATAGAGTAGT